TTTGGAAGTGTCACATTTCACGAAGGGAATAAAACAAAGGGTGTTTCCATCCTCACCACTGCTGATGTTGATGTTCCCAGCCTCCAGGGCAGCCTTCATGCCCTCCTTGCCCAGCAGCCCTGGCTCCCCCTTGGCCAGTCTCTCCCTCTCCTTCTCCTCCAGGCTCCCGTAGAAGATCGGGGCTCTCTTGGCCGGGGGGGCATCGCCCTCCTCGGTGGGCTTGGCCTTGGGGGGCTGCAGGGACACGAAAAGTTTGGGTACAAAGAGACAACAAACAGCCTGGCTGTGCCAGGGAAAATGGGGTGTGAAACATGGAGAGGCCCTGGAATGGGGTTTCATGGAATCACACACTGGGTTGGGTTGAGAGGGAACTTAAGAGTTCATCTCATTCCACCTCTGCCAAGAGCAGGGACACCTTCCACTCGACCAGGTGGCTCCAACATGACCTTGGACATTTCCAGGGATGGAGCAGCCCCTGGACAGTGAGGTTATTTATGTCCCAAGGGCAAAAGTATAATGTCACGTTAAACTGCATCCATCAGGCTGTGCCGTGTCCTTGTTTATTATCTGCACGGAGCTCGGGTTTAAGGCTCTGCGGGATTTATTTTTTGACGAAGCTTTAGAACACGAGGCTTCTCCTCCTCCCACTGAGCCCCGGCACAGCCGTCCCCGAGCTCCTGGAAGGCGGGTGAAGGTGAGCAGTGCCCGGCTCCTTCCCCCGCCGAGGGGCGGCACAACCCCCCGGGAAAAATTAAAGGATTCGGAAAAGCACTCAGGAGAACACGCGAGCGCTCCGGACCCTGCCTTTTGAACGGCTCCGGCGGCTCCGCAAACCCCACAGGGCAGCAGCCGCCGCGACCCCCGCGCGGCCCCTCCCGCGGTGCCGCTGCCACATGCGGGGAAAGGGCCCGGGCCCCCCCCGCGCTCCGGACACACCCACCTCGGGGGGCCGGGCCCCGGCTCGCGCCGCCGGAGCCCGCGCGGCTGCCATGGCGGGAACGGGACCGGGAACAGCACGGGAAAACGGGAAAAGAACGGATAATGGGACGGGAATGGGACTGGACGCGCACGGTATCCAGCGCCTCACGGGCACTTCCGGGTCGCGCGGTGCACGCCGGGAGGTGTGGCGGGGAGCGCTGAGCGCGGGGCACGCCGGGAGGCGCTTTGTCCGCTAAGGGCGAGACGCGCGGGGCACGCCGGGAGGCGCGGCAGAGCGGGCGGGCAGCAGCACGCGCAAGGCACGCCGGGAGGTGTGGCGGGGAGGGCTGAGCTCGGGACGCGCGGAGCACGCCGGGAGGCACATTGCCCGCTAAGGGCGGGACACGCGGGGCACACCGGGAGGAGCGGCGGGAGCGCTGAGGGCGGGAGAGCTCGGGCCGGTCCCGGGGCCGATCCCGGTGCCGCTGTCGCCGGTCGCGATGCTCCGTCGGAAGCCGACGCGGCTGGAGCTGAAGCTGGACGACATCGAGGAGTTCGAGAGCGTGCGGAAGGAGCTGGAGGTGCGCGCGGGGCCGGGCGCGGCGCTCCCCGGGCGCGCCCCCCGGCCCTGACCGGCCCGTTCGCCCGCAGGGCCGCAGGAAGCAGCGCGACGAGGCGGAGGCGGCGGCGGGCGGGGAGGAGGCGGCGGCGCTCGCGCTGGGCACGGAGCACAAGAGCCGCGAGCAGCTCATCAATGAGCGCATCGGGTACAAACCGCAGCCCAAGGCCGGCGGGCGGACCGCGCACTTCGGCACCTTCGAGTTCTGAGCGCGGCGCCGGGGCCGCAGCGCCGCCCGGAGCGGCCTCGCCCTCCCCCCTCGGCGCTCTCCCTTTTCGGTCGCCTTAGTTTTTTAAGTTCGGTTAACACACCCATGAACGCCCCTCTTGGCCCAGTGTTTTGTTTTAAATAAACGCGTCCTTTTTAAAAAAAAAAAATCATCATAACAAGCACGCGATTGTTAAATCGTGTTAATTGTTAAGCGCTGCTGGAAATGGGAACACCTGGAGGTAAAACCCTGCGGGAGGATCCTCGGGGATCGGGTGATTTGCTGATCCTAAACCAGCTCCTGGGATGTTCCATGGGAACCTCCAGCCCTGCCAACCGAGGGGAAGGTCCTGGGAAGTGTCTGATGGGTGGTTTGGGTTGAAGGCAGCGGTGCCACAGCTCTGGGTGCTCAGGCTCTGCTTCCAGGTGCTGCCCCGCCCTCTGCTGAGGAGGCAGGAAAGAATCCCCTGTGTCTGTTAAATGTGTGCTCAGGGCCCAATCCGTGTCACAGCTGGGCCCTGAGCAGGGAATGGCTGCACACCTGGATGTTGCACTGGGCACATGGATATGATGGAATGATATCCCGTGTTTCCTGACTAAGCAGTTTTTCCTTTACAGTTCCTCCTTCCACCTCTGTGTCACCTCAGCTGCCCTGGTTTGTCACCCTGGGAATGGAGCCCCAGGGACTGTTGCTGCTTGGATCAAAAGTCACCAAGTATTTCCTTATGGATGAAAAGCCCAAAGGCAGAGTGTTTTTTTCAGCACATCCCTGGATTTACCCCCATCAGTGCCTGGGCTCTGGAAGGTGAGACTGGGGGCAGAGCCCCACAGAAGAGGGGACCTGAAGGAACCAACTTATAAAATCTGAGCAGATGGTGGTGTTTAGGAAACTCTGCTCCCTGCAGCCCTGGGACCTGCACCAGGATACCCACAGGGAATTTAGGAGCTGTTTTCTAGAATTTTCCAGGACAGCTCCAGTTCTGGTTTTTCAGTGTCCCAAGCAATGCTCCAAACTGGATTTTAGTTACACTCAGGCTTCACGTGCTGTAGATGCCCCAAATGTACAGAACTTAAATGTTTGTTTTCCAGCTGGGAAGAGCCACAGCCTGGCCTGGAGCAGAGCTGCCTTTCCTGTCTGACACCACATGGAATGAGGGGGGATTCTCTGCTGTCCTGGCATTCCCAGCAGGGCCCAGTCTGAGAGGGCAACACCTCAGGAGGTTGTTACAGCTCCCTGAATTCCTGTCCTGGATTCTTCCCTGTCTAGGGAAGGCAGGTCTGTGAGACACCAACTCCTCTCTCCATCACCTGCAAAGTGTGACTGGGCTGGAACAAACAGAAACTCAGCATCAGTGACTTCCCACATTCCCATTCCAGCAGCTCCAAGGTGAACTGGTCAGGCCCAGAGGACTCTGCTCCTCATTCCCACCCCCTGAACAGGGACACTGGGCCCTGCTGCTCCCTCTGAGGGGGGCACTGAGGATTGTCTCCAAAACACACCCCCACCACAGTAAAATGCAATCTAGTTTATTGGTTAATTATATACAGGGAATTCTTGATATTCACAGTAACATCAGACAAGTTACCTCCACAAAGAGCAAGAGCAAAACCAAAAATGACAGTCCACTGTAAACAAAACTAGAAATCCTGCTGGGTTTGAGGGACTGGCTCCAGACAAACTCAAAAGGCACTGAAAGGAAAACAACAAAAGCCAGCTGAGGGACACAGCTGGATACTCTGTGCTCCCTCCAGGATGATAATCCAGAGGCACAGTGTGTGGAGACCAAACATCAGGGACACGACAGGCACGGGACATCACAGCCCAAGATGATACATGTGTGTCAACAGGAATTTACTGTCCTCAGGTCTTACATCCAGTAGAGCCCTCAGCTCCCTGCGTTACAGGACAACCTTAAATTTGGGCAGCAGAGGGGCTGGGGCTGCCCCAGAGCAGATCCCACCCACAGTGAGGTCAGGCTTTGCTCAGGCTCTGCCAAAGCACAGGGCTGGCAACACGCAGCCAGTGGGATGTGGTGGGAAGGGGGAGGTTGGGACACAGGGAGGTGGCTCCTCTGGACTGTCACACTGAGCTAAGGAAAGCACAGCCCCAGCAGGCAAGGACACACGGACAGGGCACATCCCTTCCCCAGCTGTGCCTTGGGCACTGAGCCCAGGAGCAGGGAGGACACAGCCACTTCTCTCCACACCTTCCCTGGGCATCCCAGGCTCCCAATGCTCCAGACAGGCTGTGGGAGGCAGCTGGAGCACCTGCCAGCCACCTGGGAGACTCCTGTCACTGAGGTCAGTGGCACTTCCCTGTCACACTGGAAAAAAGGAGATTTTTTTTTTTTTTTTTTAGTTCTTTAGGCACATAGAGCTGTTAGCTCCTTTTAGTCTCTTTTTGCACTGCCCAAAGAAAACAGGATGTCCAAATGAACAGCTGGCATCAACCCAGGATGGTGCCTTTAGGAGGTGCAATTCCAGTGCTGGCAGCAGCAGTAATGGATTTCCTTCCCAAGAGGGTGCTGAGGGTGGGCTCTGTGCTCAGGCAGCAGCAGCAGCCCCATGGAGCCCCCAGGAGCAGGGATGGCTTTGCCCTGGCAGGCTCCCAAGCTAAAAATTTAAATTCAGCCTCTGTGCTGCCTGAATTTAAAGGTGTCCTGGTAACAGGGAGTTGAGGGCTGGCATGGTTAGGAAGCTGAGGACATGCAATTCCTGTGTCAACACACATGTAGCATGTTTGGGGGTGATGTCAGAGCAGACAAAGCTGTGTCCTCTCTGCTGTGAGCAGGGGCAGGAGAGGAGCCCTTGAAGGCAGAGGTTCTCATCCAGGGGGAAACAATTCCAAGGGCACAGGTGCTACATGTAGAACGAGGCAGAGAAGCAAACAAGAACCAGATTTACACTGTAAGAGCCACAGCCTGATCTCCAAGTCATCCACCTCTGATCAATCAGAGAATTCAAGTCTGGTCACTTGGATACACGGAAAGGTGGTGAAAGGTGACAGCAGGGTCAGGCCAAGCAGGTTGTGGTTCAAAGAAAGACACAGCAAGAGGTATATGAAGTAATTACTGTCACCACACAAAGCCACTCCTGACTATTCCCTGTGCTCAGCCATCCTGTAACGGCACCAGCTCCAGCTCCTTCCAGACAAACCGATGGGAACAGTGCTGGAATCGTTGGCTCTGAGCTCCTTCAGGGGTCGAGCCCCACAGTGCAAACCTTCCACATCATCACCCACATCTCCAGCATTTAGCAGCTCCAGTTCTCCCTGACAAACACCAGGATTTCCTCTGAGCTCTCCCAGGGCTGGGAAGGGATTGTCAGTTTTCTCTGCCAAACACTAATGTTGCTCTCAGCTCTCCCAGGGATGGGAAGGGGCAGTTTTCCAGTCCCATGGAGAGCCACGATTGCTTGGAGGGCACAGCAGAGACTTCCCTGTGACAGGAGCAGAGGGCACCAGTGGGTTTGCAGCCTGTCAGAGACATAACTCCCTTCAAAGACCAGACTGGGGAAGCGTTTTTCCTGTCTCTCACCAGGAGGTGGCCAGAATTTTTCCATGAAAATAACTTTGCCTCTTTCACCCAGAAACCAGGAACCTAAACCTGCTTTTAACTCAGCTCCTTTTATTCTCTATTTGCACTGTCCAGAGAAAACAGGATGTCCAAATAAACATCTGACATCAACCCAGGAGGGCTGAGTTTAGGAGGTGCGATTCCAGTGCTGGCAGCAGCAGTAATGGATTTCCTTCCCAAAAGGTGGAGAGGGTGGGCTCTGTGCTCAGGGAGCAGCACCAGCACCATGGAGCCCCCAGGAGCAGGGATGGCCTTGCCCTGAAAGGCTGCTGGGCTAAAAAGCCATTCCAAGGATCCCCTTTCCTCACACAGCTGCTGCCAACAGTCACCAGCAGCATCTCCAGAGGAAAAAATGCTCCTGTGTCATCCCAGAGGGATTCCCTGTTCTCATGGCACATCCCAGACACCAGTCCTGCTCTGAAAGTGGTGCCTGTTCTCAGTGCCCTTCTGAAATTCCAAATGTCTTCCCTTTCAGCCAGTTACAGGCACAAACTGGGCATCCTGTGGAGAGTGAAGACTCCAGCTTTGCACCGCACTCCCTACACCAACCAATAGCTTAATATCCAAGTGCTGAACCACAGCTGCTCCCCAGGATCCCCAAAGCCTGCCCTGGGCTGGTTCTGCCCCTCTCAGAGCTCTGTGAGATGTGCAGAGCTCACAGCACTCAGCAAGAGCTCTGCAGCCCCAGCATGGGCACAGTGGGATTGTTGGGACAAAGAGGAGTCATCTGGCTCAGGAATACTTTTTAACCAGCCCAAGCTGCTCCAAACTTCACCTGAGAAGAGACTGAAGGCTGCTGTAGTCCTGTGTTTCCCTTCTCCTCTTCCCCAAATCTCTCCTTTACAGGAACATGGTTGTTTAACACCTTCAGCTCCATCCAGGAATTCCCTCTCCAGCCATTTTAACTTTAGTGTCATGAAATCATTATTCAGCTCTGGCCTCATTTACAGAACTAGTTTTAGTAACCCCAAAGTCTAGCTCTGGATCCATCCTGGTGCAGTTCCACATGAAGTACCTGCAGGTTCAATGGTTTATTTAGAATTTTTTGCCCTGTAAATACACAACTTGTCCTGTGTCTGCTCCGTGTGTTTCCATGATTGGGAAGGGAAGGCAGCCAAACTCCAGTGTTCTCCCTGGAGGCTGAATAAAGCTGCTGGATAAATCAGACTGACAACACTCATCCTCTGGTGGGCCTGGAGGGCAGGTTCATCCACTCCCTGGAGCACACGGGTCACATCCTCGGGTCAAAGTCCTCCCTTGCCAGGACACACCTGAGTGTCTGATGTGCAGCACCAAATCTTCCTCAGAGGCTGAGTCCTTCTGCAGCAGAAGGTGTCATTGGCCCCAAAAGCCACAATGCCAGGGTGATCCTTCCCCTGGCATTATGTACACATTGAAAAAAAAACAAATTAAAACAGCCATTCACACACAGAGGGCTCTATGGGCAACTTTGAGCTTTTCCTGCTCTTCATCAAACCTTCACTGATGAGTGTTTACAATTTAAAAATAAAATGGTTTTGTTTTCTTTTTTAAAAGAATAATTTCTACATTTCTGTCAGCCAACTAATCTCAATCACAGCATAATCTAAGAATAAAGCAAATCCTGGCCAAGAAGGGCTGCCAGGGACTCTGGGGAGTCAGGGGGAGCAGCACAGCCCAGCTCCTCACATCCCTGCACCCCAGCCAGGAACCTGTGGTGGGATTTTCTTTATCGTGATTCTCTTGCAGCTCAGGAATGATCCAGTCCTTGGGATGGCTGCACTTCCAGGGAGCAGGGGAGTGGAGAGGCCTCTGGGCAGCACCCAGTGTTAATGGCAGTGCTCTGTGATATCCACCACAACTGCCTTTTTCCAGCTGAAGAAGAAGTACCCGGTGCCAGCTCCTGCTGCCACGGCAATGCAGAGGTACCCGTTGTAGGTCATGAAGATCAGCATGAGGAAGTAGCTGACCACCACCTGGATGATGTGCAGCACAGTCTGCAGGAGGTGGGGGAAGCTCAGCATCTGCTGTCTGGGAACACAAACCCAAACGACAGTCAGCAAACAGGAGACAGCTGGGAAATGCCCATTCCCAAAGAACTCTGAGAACTCTGAGGCTGCCAGGGCAGCAAGGAGGGCATGGGATGGCAGAGAAGGTCACAACAGCCTGGGCAGGGACTCCTGCATGAACATGGAGCTGGGGTTTTCCCCACAGAGCTGCCTGCTGGCAAAGCAAGCATGGAAGTTGCTGGGAGGACACAACTTTTAATGAGAAACAGACCTTGTCAAGCTTATTTTACCCCCCATTCAATAAGCAGAAGGGCTCCTGTTCTGCACAGCAGCTTTGACTACCTGTCAACAGAAATTCTAAGTATTTCCTGTCAGGATCACTGCCTGTAACAACCAAACTCTGTTCCTGGGAGCTCCTCAGGTGTGTTCATCACAAAAACCCCAAGCTCATCTGGCTCCTTGCTGCTCCTTTCCTCCTTTTGTGCCCCATCCTCGAGGTTGGCCAAGCCCAGTGTCCTCCAGTACCCACCAGTGTCCCAGCCTGTCAATACACTCAGTACTGGCTGCATCAAGTTCCTTCTGTCCCAGTTCCACCTGGAGGGATTTGCTTTAGAATGCAGTGAAACCCTTACCCAACAG